ACTAACACAACCTGTCACAAATTTATGTGGAAAAAAATGCTATACGGTTACGAAGAAGAGTACGTATTTTAAACGTTGAATCCGCTAATTTGATATGAGGCTTGCACATATTTAGTTAAAGACCTCACGTAAAATGTTAATTTTACCTAATTTGTAAATAGACAGATTTGTTTGAAACAGATATTGTGTGCCAGATGGCTTTATAGATGATTATATATTAGCTTCGATGCGAAGCTGAGAAGGTATTAATTTTACCATGATGTGTTTATTTATTTATTTTTTTTTTTTTTTGTGTCTGTCACTACTTTTTCTCAGCTCTCACTGGACCGATTTCTTTTAACAATACGTCAAAAGATCACAAATTGTATCTAGTTAAAGACATTACCCTTAAAAATTGAAAAATTATCCCTCGTTCCCCGCAAATGGGGGAAATATCCAAAAAAATTACAAATTTAAAAATAAGTAAATTTTGTCATTTTTTTCACTTTTTTTTCTTAAAACTTCCATAACTTTTTCAAAAATCAACAAATCAACATAATTTTTTTTTAAACTAAAACCTTAGATATTNGGGGGTGGGGATTTAAAATAGCAACTTTTTAACAAAAACTAACTTTTTCAACTTAATTTTTGAAAATTCTCCGGAAATACTGCGTCCTTTAAACATATGTCAAATTAAAGCTTATGTTATGTACTATAAAATTAAAAAAAAAAATTTGTCCCAACGACCTATCTTCTATACGCAAATGGCTACCGTATTTAAAAATATGCTATTTTTGTATTAAAATTCTGGGTTTTGTATTTTTATTTTATTTTAAAATACCTTAAAAGGAGAATACATTGACTTTCATGAATATCATATAATTTAATTGACAAAGAATAAAGTTTATAAGACATAAGAAATTAAACTTCTTTAAATTTTTTACTTTTTTAAAGTCGAAAAAGTAACTTTTAAATTTGACTTAGCTTAAATTTCTAATTTTATCATGCGACAAAAGCAACGAACAGTTGCCGAATCGGTAACACTTGTGTCTTTCACGCGTAGGGTACGAGGTTCAAATCCGTCTGTGGCAATTAATATTTTGCATTTTTTTTTTTTTTTGGTTAGAATACAATTTTCAAATCATTTGATATTTATCTCATTTAGATTCAATAACTTCAATAGATATAAAGTATTCTATCACTATAGTCTCCCCTCGTGAGAAGAAATTTATATTCATGTTAATATTATTTTACTATGTAGTTTTTTTTGTGGCTACGATTTATTTTGTAACCCTCACTAGACCTACTTTTTTCAACGATACGTCAAATGATTACAATTCGTATTTAGTTTAAGTTATTACTCTTGAAAATCGAAAAAATATTCCTTATTCAAATAAAAAGTAGCTTAACCAGTTTTTTCCATACAAACAATTAAAATCATTAATTTCTAATATTCTTAAAGTATTTATTGACGAATTAGATTTGATATGATAAAAGTTTTCAACTACAAAAGTAAATAATTTTACTTTGTAATTTATTAATTTTTTATCTCTATTTGTGTGTGCTACTACCAGTCTATAACATTCCAAATTTTTTTGTAATATGTTGCTATATAAATCATAAATTTAAAAAAAAATGATTTTTAGTTTCACCTGAATTTAACGATGGATTTTTACAATTATTTTCAAATATTATAATATGCTAAATTGAGTAAATTTTTTTTTATTGGTTTTTTTAGTTATATAATCATTAAAATTAATTAAATTCTGAATATTTCCATTGTAGAATTTTTTTAAACACCAAAAGTTAATTAGAAATGATTACTATGATTTTTATTTAAGTGATCTAATACAATAAAAATGTAAAAAAAATCGAACTTTTCTGATAAATGTACTGTAAATAGTAATATCGAATTTTTTCTAAATGATAATACAAATGACATAACCTCTAAAATACTGTAATAAATATGATTGATGGGAGAAAAAATATTAAATAATAATTATATCGAGTTCGATGGTTATAATTTATTAATTTTATTAGAATACCAGCCTCATTTACAATTACCCCTATTCACAATTACCCCTCCTGACCCTATTAATCTTAGCATTTTCATTTTTTTCTATTTAATAATGTCAATTTCAAACTTGCAAGTTGAACTATAAGTTATGGTAACAAATTCATTTTTTAGCTTCGATGCGAAGCTGAGAAGGTATTTTTCATTAAAACTTTCACTTTAAAAGACAATAAAAAATAGGTTCAAAATGATTACCTTTAACATATTAAAAATCAAAATCAGTATTAATTTAATACAATTTTTTTTGTTCTTAATTATTTTTTTTTATATGTAAATACTTATTTTTTAATAATAAGTAATAATATTAAAACTTAGAAGTAATAGAAAAAGTTTAATTGCACATTTGAAAACATCACGAAAAGTTTATTTAGAAAAGTATATTTTTTTTCTGATGAAAGTTCCTTTTGTTTAGTGTATTTATTCATAAGTAACAAAATTTTTTTATTAAAAAGTATTGCATAAATTCCTTTAAATTTGTATACGCATTAAAAGTATATGAATATACAACTCCTTTTTATTTTTATAATATCTCCGTAAAAATTACAATATTATATTATTGAATACCACTTTCATACTCAATTTAATTACTGTAATTATTATGTATTCATATATTATAGTTATAAATCGGGGTAAAATTAAGGGAATAAGTGTTATTGTTGTTTTTGAAATAATCTACCAATTTCATTTTTTTCTATTTAATAATATTTATTTCAAACTTGCAAGTTGAGTTAAAAGTTATGGTAATAAATTCATTTTTTTTTTATTAAAACTTTCACTTTAAAGAACAAAAAGAAGTAGGTTCAAAATGATTACTTTTAACATATTAAAAATCAATATCAATAATAATTTGAAAATAATTGATTTTAAAAATTATATAATATATAATTAAAAGAAATACTAATCTGGGTATAATTAAGGAAATAGAAGTTGATGTTGCTTTTGTCCATCAATTTTTTTAAATTAAACACTATCTACAAATTTGCATCGAAGCGTTTCTTATGATAGTGATTTTAATCACTGTCAGATTAAATCTATACTGGTCCTAACTATGCAACATCCCCATTATACCGCGACCCCACTGTGCTGGGTTTTTTTATACTATATCACTTGAGATTAATACAGCAGATGGTTTAACACGGTAGCGATGTTGCCGTCTATTACATTAATTATTAATATAAGAATTATAAGCTGCGCTATTCGTATAGTGAATAATAAATCAATATTTTTTATTGACAATATATAATAATAATAGTAACGATAGTTTAAGTTTTCTTATTATGAGATGTTTAGCAAAACACATTTAAAATGAACACTACTACCGCCACCGCCGCCGATAACGACAACGACGATAATCGCTGGAATATATATTCTAATGTTTATAATATTATTATAATCTGTATAATTGCATACACTTATCGATTAATGTCATATATATTTTGTTTGAAATATTACTTGTATCCCCTCTCAAAGTTTTAAATTATTACTGTAACTTTAATTAATTTTTTTTAATGAAATAATAGTCTCGACTAACAGATTGCATTCTTCATCCGTCAAAGCATTTGAGACGGCAGACGGTCATAATTTTTAAAAAGGCATCTGTTTTAAATCCAAATTACAAGTATGTATAAACATTACACTTGCGTTTAAGACTGAATTTTTTCACGCTATTATAAATAACAATTCAATTTATCAACTACTATTTTAATTTACTTGGGTGGCTTTTATAAAAATGTAATGTAACAAATGCTGTATAACATGTAGAAACCTGAATACTTTTTTTCTCAGACCACTTGTTAAACTTAGATCGTTTTGCTCACGATATGATGTAATTGTGCAAATGTGTTTAATGACTACCACCACCTTTAACATTGTAGCGCATAATACAGTAACAAAGCTGACCGTATTTATAAAGACGTCAATAAAGATTTTATTCACTCTTTGACTAAGCTTTTATAACGGCTCGCTAACATATTGCTTAACAATATTTGGTTAAACCTATACAAGTACTAGTATTTTTTAAAATTATTATTTAAATTTAAAATCGAATAACAATTCGATAACAATGTACATTTTACTGATGCTACATAAAGTAAGTTTTTTATATTGTTGAATGAATATTTCAATATTTTTGACACTTATATCAAAAATTGTTTTATACACATTTTTTTTTCATAGCTACCTCTTCCGCGACTGTTCCACACCATCGTTCGGTTAAATGTAGGGCTAACAACAGTAAGGTCAAATTGAAAAAGTTGCGTATACAATTGCCGGACGCAAAAAATTTCATCGAAATTGATTCTTTATTGGAGCGGGGAGCCGTTTAGTTTTATCGGAAAAACGTGGAAAATTTCGCGAGCTATCAAGATTTTCTACGTGCTGTTAAATCCGAGCTGGTTTCCAAACTCGGTGAAATCGCTGCTGTTCGACCGATTTAATATAATCTCAAATTGGAGGCCTCGTACCATATACTGCGATCGAAAGCACCATCCGAAGACCGTGCCTTCAAGACACAGGCTAGGGTGTTATTGTCCGACACGGACATTGTGGGTGCGAATGACGATTTTGAGATTATGCTCGCTGAGGAATACGTGTACTCGGGTATGAGTAGCGGATTCACTCTAACGCATATCAACGGACTCATGCTTAGCGTATACAAGTATACGCCCCTCGCCGGCTCATCATATATTCCGGTCTCATCCGAAATTTTTCATAGGCAATCATCAACCCACAAAACATCAATCAGTCCTGTTTCAAGTGGTCCATTTTGGTGAGACACGTTAGGGATAATAATAATACGAGTGTTAATAAAAAATATTTTAACGAGGATCATAGGTATGATTTCACAGGGTTAACGTTCCCCTCACCTGTGTCCCAAATTAAAATATTTGAACAGATTAAAAATTACCCCTATTAACAATTACCCCTCCTGACTCTAATTAAGTGTCACCTGTATTCTTCTTTCTATTTCTTCTTCTTGCCATTCACACTCTAGTACGTAGTAGTTACGTTTTAAACCAAAAATAATTCCCCAGAACCTATATAACATATATATAATTATTATTATTGACTTCTTAATTCTAAGAGAGTAATATAAGAATTGTAAAATAGAATATTAATTGTATTTTAATAAAAATGTATATATTTTGACATATAACTTTTAATCTAGAAATTAATTTTTTGTTACTCTTTTATTTTAACATAAATATTTGTTCATAACATAGTAATAGTACAACAAATAATTAATTAATTATTTAATTAACAAAAATATTAAAATTTATGAAAACAATTTAAAATAGCCATCTTATAGAGTACATTATAAGACAAATAACCCAGCACAGTGGAGGCATCCCAAAGTTGGAACCATTATTTTTATTTTATTTTTTTATTTTTATTTTTCAACTTCTAAACAGGCAATATTTTAAAAAAACATTAAAAGCTAAGTTTAAATTTATACAACAAAATATTATTACTATATACAATATAAATTATTTTGATAAACAATGAAATACTATAAACTAAAAACAAAAAAGTCTTGACTAAACTCATTAAGTCGCCTAAATATTCTATGGAGTGGGTGATTTTACCATATGAGGTAGGATGAAGGGGAAGTTGGAAAAGGAAGTGGTTTCTTGTGTTATGGGAATGTACTCGGAAGGATATTTTGGAAAGAAGTTCAGGAGAATCAATGGAACCATTGAGAAGGGATTTTATAAATGACATGTCAACATCCTCTCTGCGGGAGGCTAAAGAAGGAAGTCGGATAGCGGTGCGAATAGGGGAGTAGTCATGAGGAGGATGATTTATTTTCAAAAGGAAGGCAACATAATAGGAAAGGAGTTTAATTTGTACTCTTTCCATTCTAATTATATCTTTAACAAGGTAAGGATGCCATACCACAACCCCATACTCTAGTATAGATCGAACCAGGGACCGGTAGAAGACACGGAGACAGGAGGGAGAGGAGAAGTTCGAAGTATTTCTTTTAATAAAGCCTAATACTTTTAGGGCTCTACCAATAATATTGTTCATATGGAAATCAAAGGAAAGAGAAGGAGTACTAAATGTTTGATAACGGAAACACGGTTGAGAGTTAAGCCTTCAAGGGAGTATGAGTGATGTAGAGGTGAGAATTACAGGAAAATGACATTACATGAAATTTTTTGGTATTAAGATATAGGTTGAGCTCCTTGTCCCAATTGGAGAAGGTGTCGAGGTCTGATTGAAGGAGTAAATAGTCGGTTGGTGAGCTTATGTTGAGAAAAAGTTTGATGTCGTCGGCAAAAAGAAGTGCTTTAGAGTTTAGGAGAAAATCGGGAAGGGAGTTGACATAGAGGGTGAACAAGAGGGCTGAGATGATCACCTTGAGGAACGCCAGAAGGTATTATGCAAAGATCAGAAAGCATACCATTAATTGAAACAAATTACCTTCTGGAGTTTATATAAGATGACAACCATGAGAAGTGGATTGCCAAAACCAAGGTTATCTAATATTTTAATAAGAGTACCGTGATCAACCGTATATAAGGCTTTTTTGAAATCAGTAAATATTACATCAACCTGCGAGCCGATTTCAATATTATCTAGGATATAAGTAGAAAAGACGATACTGCTTGTTACTGATGATTTCCGAAGACGAAAGCCATATTGGCTGTCACTGAGAATGTGGTTAACACTTCTCTTAATAGAGGAAAAAACCAGGGATTCAAAAATTTTAGCTATACGAAGGAGAATGGATATAGGTCTGTACTTTGTAATGTCGAATGGATCGCCGGATTTAAGAATTGGGGTTATAGAGTAAGTTTTTCAAACAGTAGGAAAAACTTCCTCATTTAGGGAACGTTGAAAGAGGAGGAAAGTATTTGGGCTAGGGAGTCACGACACCTATAAAGTAAACGGGCCGAAATATTATCAGGACCATTAGAGTGGTTGTTTTTTAAGTTTTCAAGAGCGTAGAAGACATCAAATAATGAAAAAGAGCAGTTTGAGTTTTGAGTGGAAAAAGTATTTGGGGGTTTAAAAACTGAGGAAATGAATTTAGAAAAGAGATTGGCATTGTTAAGTGGTGAATTTGATACTTCATAAAAAAGATGGACAGTGGAAGGAATTTGTGAGTGTTATTTAAGGTCTCTGGTGTATTGCCAAAGTAAGAAGGGGTTAGTGGAGAGAGAGCGCTCAGTGTAACTGATATAAGAACAGTAGTTACTAAGGGATAATTTTTTATATTTGGCTCGTAGATGAGAGAAAACGGAAAAGTCAGAAGGCAGATTTGTTTTTTTAAACAGTTTATGTGCATATTTTTTTTTGTTTATTAGGGACTTTAAAGAAGGTAATGCCCAACGGGGAAATTTAGGGCTTCTGAAGGTCTTTCTAGAAATGAAATTCTGAATAGCGTTGAGTAGGGCATCGTTGATAACAGTGGCGGCATCGTTAACAAAATAAAGTGAAGAAGTGGTCTCTCAATTAAAAGAGTCAATGAATTTGGAAATAGAGGAATAGTCACCAGTTTTAAAGTCAAAATAAGAATGTGAAGCATTTGATTTAGGTAGTTTAGGATAATGGTATTGGATAAATAAAGAAGGATGGTAAAGATTAGGTTTGATAAGAGGCGATATAGCTTTGACAACTGACAAGGTCTTAAAATTAGGTAGGACCAGATCGAGAATGTTACCTATACAATTGGTTGTTTGATTAAATTGAAAAAAGTTAAAGAAGGAAAAAGAATCAATAATAGTTTATAAACTATTAAATTTGGTAACTATTAGTTACCAAATGCTATTTTTGTGTGAAAATTCTCGATTTTATATTTTACCATTTTAACTTTATAATGCTATAACTTTTTGAAAAATATATGTATCAATATAATTTTTTTATGAGAAATAGAAAGTAGAAAGATACTCCTAATTTAGTAATTTTAGCTTCGATGCGAAGCTGAGAAGGCTATAACTTTTTGAAAAGTGTATGGATCAATAAAATTTTTATGAGAAATATTATTTATATCCCTTTTTCATTTGATATACTTTATCTTAATCAGGATATAAATAAGGAAATAGGAGATCATGTAGCTTTTGGAATAATCCACCAATTTTTTAAACTTAAACCCTATCTACAGATTTGTACTTAACCCAACAATGCCACATCCCCACTGTGCTGATTTTTTTTTTAACTTTAATGTCCGTTTTCATCATGAAAAGAAAATAAAGTCAGAAATTTCTTTTTCCATAATAAATTATATTACATAAGCTATAATTTAAGATATATATAAAAGTCTCAGTATTTCTGGAACACTTTCAAAAGTTAAGTTGAAAAAGTGAATTTTTTGTAAAAAAGTTGTCATTTAGAATCCCTTCCTGTGGTCAGGTAAGGGGTCAGATTAATAAAAAACTATATCAAATGATAGGTTAAGATATCGTACAACTATAATAAAATATCATATTGATTTGGTCATTTTTGAAAAAGTTATGACAGTTTTAAGTAAAAATATTTTTATAAATGTCGAAAATTAGCGATTTTTAAATTTGTTATTTTTTTGGAAAATAGTATAAGTAAAGTTAATATAGAATATATTAATACTTTCTTAGCTTCACGTCGATGCTAAAAGGTATTAAAATAATTTGTTGGTGTTAAGTTTCTTCAGCATTACAAATTTTGTATAAATTTGAATAATTTTATTTTTATTTTACGGTATCAAAGGTTAGTTATCCCAGTAGACGAATTAGCATTTAGAAATTTTATTGTAGTTGCTTAAAGTGCTTAAGGATGTATCGATGTTTACATAGATATTCAATATTATTGTACCTCACAATTATTATTATTATTATTAATATATTTGATTACTTCTTTACAAAATTGCTAACTCACCTTATACTAGCTATTTTTCCAGATTGTATTAACTCGTCCATTGTTGCCTTTATTATTTCTACCTCTTCAATAGTTAACCCATAACCAGCTTTGTCAAATACCTTATTTGACTGCGATAATTCTTGGACGTTTTTAATTTGATTTGAGAAGTCACTAACAAATTCTCCATCCTCATATTCATATGTAGCATCAAGTTCACCTGAGTGATTAATATATGAACCATTTTTTCTTTGTCTTGATTTTTTTATATCCTAAAAATATAAAACAATATTTTATGATTTTAAATACAAATAATTAAGAATAAGACTTTTTCATTAAGTACCGCGATCAGATTAACATAAGTATACGTATGTACTTGATCTAAAAAAATAAAAATTTTAATTCCGCAAAATAAAATTATTTTAATACATTATTATTAAAAAATTAAACACAATAGACGTTGTTGATACTTTTATTTCTATAAATCTCATAAATATAAATTATATGACATAAAGTTGTAATATCCATTTCAGGATTGTAATGCTGATTACAATGAAAGGAGAAGACATCTCAATGTTTTTCGTTTTAGGGGAGAGCGGAGAAAGTCGATTTTCTTAGATTTAAAAAAATATAGGAATATTTGTTAATTCGTTTTGGAGTTATTTAAAAATAAATAAACTGATATTGTTTTTTACGGCGTAAGGTTTTTACTTAAAAAAATTTGTTTACTATATTTAAAGATAAACATCACGAATAAAAAGTCTTAATAATATTACAGGAGTATTAGGTAGATTTTTTAATAAAAATAAAGTGGGGAGAGTTGTTTTCTTTTATTATTTGAATATAAAAATTGTGGGGTTAAGTTTTGACTAGTCAAAAATTTTCGCGGTCGATTGACTAGATTTTTATGTGTCAAATAGTAAAATTTCTCGAAAAATAATTTTACAATTTTTTTATAACTATCGCTGTTTGAGACATAGACCAATATCTTCACTCAGAGTACAATACATATTTGTTTTTTATTATTTTGAATTTCTAAGGAAAAGTTTATTTTATTTCAGTACTATTTTAAATAGTCTACTAACCACAAATATTAGAGGTGACGGTGTTACCGGTATACCGATTAGAGGTCGATATACCGGTTACCGTCTTTTTTATTTATACGATATACCGAAAATATCGAAATACCGATAACCGAAATTAGTTATTGAATATTTTAATTTATTTTTAGATTGTTCAAAATTTCCAGTGAGAAATATATGACATATTTACAATACTAAATATATATATATATATCTTAAATACCGATATGGGTTCGTATTATTTTGTTTTTATTGTTGTTGCGTGTTGTTTATCACAATAATTGCATCTTAGCGTTTATATCGAATTGAACATAAAATATGGAACCTATAAATTTAGAGTCAGACCCTTTAAAGTGGTGGAAAGTCTATCAAAATGAATTTCCAACTTTGGCCGTACTTGGTAAAAATTATTTATGCGTGCAGAGTACTAGTGTTCCAAGTATATTCAGTTATCAAGTGTATTCAGTTGTTCGGGCAATATAATTACTGATCATAGATCATCTCTATCAACAGAGCATGCCGAAGAACTCATATTTTTATCTATGAACTCTAAATTTGTATCAAAATAATTAAATAAAATAATAATTTATGATCTTGTTTTTTTTTTTTATAAATTTATTATAAATTAATTAATTCATATTAATGTTATTATGTAATATTATATTATTATGTAATATCGGAAATACCGAGATACCGAAATATCGAGTATATCGAAATTACCGTATCCAAATACCGGTTTAACGATATTTTCGGTATACCGATTCATACCGGTAAAAATTATCATACCGAAATATCGATATTAAAAAAAAATACCGTCACCCCTAACAAATATTAAACACTAACTTCACTTATTAAAAAATAAAACCAGTGTCACCTATTAAGTTAGTATCTATTTATAATAAAACATTAAAGGAACTTAACTTCCCACTTTTTATCGCGTTAGTGTTCAGCATTTGAAACATGAATTTTCATAAAATAATGTCTAAATATGCAAAAAGATCGAGTTTCATAATAAAATTTTAAATATAAATATAGATTTTTTTATTTTTATCATATTTATTTATTTATTTATTATAAGAATAATGTTCGATATGGACAAACGAGTACAACGTAAAAATTTATAATATATGTACAAAAAATAGTGAAAGAAAACCCACCCTAATAAAAAGTTATATAAATTTACTCTTTGAGATATTAGCTTTTAATGATTTAAAGTAATTATATTAGGCTCCCAATTAACTTCAATGAATCACCTCTATAAACTACAAACCCTTTATAAAATGAATATTTAGGGTGGAAAACTAATTTAACACTCATAAAAATTGCATTCTAGTTACACAAAACTATTTTCTTGAACATTCGTATGAAAGCATGAGCGCTGGAACAATGGGGGCGCTGGGGGCAACTGCCCCCATGGGAAAGATTCTGTGAGAGCATAGCCTTCACGGACAGTTTCCTTCCTCTGTATTTGTAGCTGTGCTCAGCCCCCACGGTTCAAAAATTGTTCCGGCGCCACTGCATCAAAGCGTTTTTTTTATTAAATGTATTCCTCGATTTCAAGATCATGTTTGACTGATGGTATTTATATTACATTAGGTTAACATCCCAAAAATCTGGGATTTTTTTTTTTTGTTTCATTGTTTCATCCTAAAAAGTCTTTCAATTTGTAGGATATTTTGATTTAGTTAACGATGTCTTTATATTTTATGCAATTAATTATTATGTGCTTAATGATTAATAAGTCATCGCATATCTCACAAAGAAACGCTTCCTTTTTATTAATTCCGAATCGTTTCATGATAGTAGTTTCAATTATTATCAGATTTAGAAGCTATAGCCTCCAATTGGCAAATTACAACTGTATATTATATGACTAATGCTAAAAAAAGCAAGTGACTAGTCCAAAAAAATAGGTCTTTTTCCCACAAGGATATTTCTGTTCATGCTATTGACCAGATTTGAACTTTGTTAAAACCAGACATAGTTGAAAATTACTTAAATATAATATAATATATATTAAATTCCAACTATACCAGGTCCCCACTATATCAGGGATTATTTTTTAATTTTATAAATGAATCGGTCTTTTAGAGTGATTTTATAAAGAATTCTTTATTAAAAGAAAAAATATAATAGCATTATTAGGTTTTGTAAAAAGGCATACTGATTAAAAATACATCATGTTTTGTTTTTGATCCACATTATTTGACTATATATTTTTATAAAAGATTATAGCAATAAAATATGTGATGCTAGAATAAAGGCCTGAAAATTTGAAAAATTAGTTTTTATTATATTTAAGTTTATCAAAATGAGTTTTTATTAGCCAAACAATTTTTACCATTGTATAATTTTATTAACGACTATAAAATTTTATAAAACTAGAATTTCAATATGCAGCTATATAAAAAAAAATTGTTTTTTAATTTTTTATTCTTAAATATATTTTTTTAGCCTTAGGACTCTTTACAAAACACTATTGAAACAATGAATATATAGAAGTTTTCTTTTGTAATCGTTCTTCTATTAACATAGCTATAATAAATAATTACTTTGAATAAATCGGTTACATTTTTACAAGCGTTGTAGTCAATGTTGTTTAACAGAGTTGTACTTAAACCATATTGCGAATTACAATATTGTTCTTTCAATTTTTCGCTATAATATTCAAAAAGTAACACTGGATTTGGAGGACGCTCAAATATGAATTTTTCCAACAAATTGTAAACGTGTGTATATCTATAGGAAATAATTAAATTTTTTAAGGTATCTTTATTAACAGATACTTAAGCGTTCGTAAATTTTTTACAGTGGACAGTGCACGTAAAAAATTTATACTATCTTCCCTTCAATTTTTCTACATGCACTTATAAAGTAAACTTTTTTAGCTTCGATGCGAAGCTGAGAAGGTATTAATTTTACCATGATGTGTTTATTTTTTTTTTTATTTTTTTTTTTATTTTTTTTT